CCCCTTATCTCCGGTGTAACTCCCTCTGCAAACAACGATAAGCAATTGCGTTTTTGCAGCACCAAACACTGATATAATTTCAGCTCTAGACCTGTCCTTGCTACCAATCAGCACAAGTATTAGCAATTTTATCCGGCCCTTTTCCACTATTCAAAAGTCAAAAAGGCTGGCCACTGAAGGACCAAGTAGCTTTCCAGCCCATGTGGAGATGGCGTACGAGTTGGCTTTGGAGTACCAGAGTTCTGTCATCTAAAGGCAGGGGCATCTTCCGTGTAAGACAGGATGACTCTTTAATGCGGCTTCAGTGAACTTCAAAGAGATGTTGACATTTTGAATTATCTCTATTTTTTGCATATTTATGTTATATGTGGATTCAAAAGAAAAGGAATCCCTTTTTTTCAAAAGAAATGGGTCTAGGTTAATTAATTTCCACAGCATTGGTAGCTGACCATAATGCTTTTTACTGAAAATACAATGCCCAGTATGTGGGCATTTCTTGTTTAGAAATAACTCTTTGCCATATGTTAGAACAAAACAATATGTTAGAATAAAACAAGATATGTTTAGGGAAAAAAGATAAAATGGATCTTAAAGGTCTAGCCCAACTCCTTGTCATGTTGAAACCAACAAAGCATCATCTACAAATATTTGCCCCGTGTTTGTTTAAAGTCATGAAATACCTGTTGTGTGTTGATAACTTCACATTCAGGAAATTTTCTTCTGTCTGATATCCGTTCAAAGCATTCATTGCTGATTTCTTCCGTACTTCTCACAGAGCTTCTGGAGAAGAATCAGGCACATTTTCTTTTTAAACTTTTTTCAATAATTAGAATATCCTTATGGTTCTGTTTATGATCAGCTCTTAGCACTAGGTCCGTGGTGAACCAGTACCATTGTACTGTGGCACTGTTGAGAACTCCAGTTTAGCAAATTCAGAATAGAAAAGACTTGTCCTTAGGACCATTGCCAAAAAAAAAACAATAAATCTATGAGTACAAGGCAAAGAACTGTGTGACTACTCCACTGGCTATAAAAAGAAAACCTTCATATGGTCTGCATATCAAAATGCAACTTGTTTGGATATATTACAGGGAAAAAAATCCACCAAGAATACAAAATAAAACTTTGAAGTACATTTTTCACCTCATCTACACATGAATAATGTTAAAGGAAAATACATGAACAAAAAGGAAAAATGATAAACTTTTATTATTTTATTACTTTAGTGCCATAGTCAAACTCAAAATATTCCTGACCATTGAAAATCTAAGGCACTTCACGTTTAGCAAATAAGTGACTGGGGAAAACTTCTCCTTGAAGAGGGGTTTTATTCTATTTATTTTTAGGTGAATTTCATGTAAGCATTTCCTTAAGTATCATCAGAACCTGATGATCAGAACAGTTTCTTGTCATACCATCCTCCTGTATCCTGGTCCATGCCACGTAGCCCATTTTCAATAACCAGCCTTCCCAAGCTCTGATTCATAAAACTGCTATGAACTGCAGGCATTTACAACATGTGATATTTAGCAGGAATAAATTATCTGCAAGAAAGAATTTGAGGCTCTTTTTTTTTTTTTTTTTTTTCAAATACATATCTATATATTTTCCTTAAGGCCATGCTGGACTTGATGAGTCTGATCTTATTTCATCTCAGGAGCAAAGATGTTTCAGGCTGGTTAACAGAAAAACTTGGCTCAGGCCACAGACTCTGCATGAGAATTTGATGATTATTAAACCATAGAAACTGTGTGGAAACACTGCTTTAGGTCCCCTGATCACTGCAGAGCAGATGAACAAGAAAACAAATGCATAATTTTCCCTGCCCTGTTTCTGAAAATTAGAGTCTTTTCGGTAGTTTTTTTGGTAGTTTTCTTGTAAGGTAAAATAAATCAGAAAAACTTTTCAAAGGCAATTGTAGCACCAGAGCACTGAAGTGTCAGTGAGAGTCAAAAGGAGTAAGCGAGCAAGTTTGAACCTCTGAGCTGCAATGTCTGTGTCCTAAGCCTCCACCCCCAAGAAGGTCATAATTCTTCCAGTTTTCAAAGCTGTTTTTTCTTTTTATAAAGCAGGCAGGTTTTGGAAGGAACTAACCGACCAGCAGAAATGACTGGAAATTCAAGATTTCCGTTTTGTGTGACAATGCGGCATGTTAAAAAAGATTTCACTCTCACCGAAAGGAAAAATCTCTATCTCATGAAGAAGAAACTTCTGGCAACTTTTTCCCTTCAGGAATGTCAGGATAATTTCTTCTGATTTCTAAAAAATGAAACAGAGCAGCCAGCTACCCCACCACAACTTCCTTCGTACAGGTTGTCATGGAGCCTAAGCGATCTGGACGATTTGGACTCCAGTGGGAATTATTTTCTTCTTGAACTAAAATGAATTGAAACAGACCTGAGATAGTTGTCCTTGTCAAAGATCTTTACATGTATGTACACAGTTGATCAGGTCAGTTGGACAACAAAGCCAAAAAACTATTTTTTAACTTGCAGGTCTCCAGACAGCATCCCCACCCTGATGGATAAATTGTCCCTGCTTGCTCCTACATTGCTTAAATCGTTTTCTGTGAAAACCTTTTGGCTTAAAATGCTTCTTAGGAGGAAGGCAGAACTGCACTAAAACATGAAAAAGAGCCAGCCAGAGTGGAATAGTTGCCTCCTTGATACAGTCTCCAAAAGCTTTATATAGTTTACAGATGCTTTTTGACCTAACCAGCATTATTAGTTCTTGGTTAGACCTATCTGCACTGGCTGTGAAGTTCCTGGGGAGTCTAACCTATTTATTTATTGTTCTTTGTAAAAATTTCCAGGAAACCACAATTTCCAAAAGATTAAAGCAGAAGTGAACAAAAAGTAGCTCCTCAATGTGTCCGTTAAATTATGGAGTCCTCACTGGGAAAGCTAATTCAGTGCAGTTCACTTCTGAGGAATTTATAAATTACCCTAGAATTATGCACTGAAATATTATAAGAACAACTGATGAAGGAGAGTCCTGTTGCAAGGGGTCCTACTTCTTACTGACTGGAAGAGATAATTGTTATTTAACTGCTCTTTCCTAACTCTTGAGAGAAGAAGAGAAAATAGGCTGGTAGGGAACATAAAAGTCTTTCAGTCCATCGTTTTGCTGTTGGAAAGGATCTACTGTTCTTCAGGCTTCACTGTCAGATGCTTACCAGCTTATACTCCAAACCCTTCTGTGACACAGCCTCTCTGAAGGCAATGCGTTCCAGTGCTTCCAAATTTTTTCTAATAGCCAGACTAAAACTTCTTGGTTGTATACTGCACCTGTTATTTCTAACTTGAAATACCCAGGTGATGGAGAGCTGTGAATTCTCTTCCTCAGTGAAGTCCCTTTTTATGTATTTGAAGACTCGCTATCCAGGCTTATACCAGGAAGTTAAACATGCTGGGAATCATTCTCTGACACTGGGTTAACTTGAGCACAACAATCAGCCTGGATCTATTATAGCAAACTCCTTCAATCTCTTACAGTACTCATCACCTTAAATCTGCCAAACGGGAGCACTGAGGGGTTGTGTCCCAGGCACTTTCCCTGGCAGCTGCATAAAAAAGGAGAAAGTCATTAATGAATCCAGAGCAAATTACAGTAGCCATCTCACTTCTCCCTTTCACTGCATCAAAGTGTTGTTTCAATCTTTCCTCATAGGCCACATTTGCAAGCTGTCCCTTCATAACCATTGCTCTGTGGCCTTGTTCCCACTCACACACATCAAACCCATGCAAATGTTGTGTTTGAGCCAGAGCATGGGCCATGCTGAGAGCAGCAGTGTTCCTCTGCCTTGAGGGCAAAGTCCTAATCAAGAAGCCTGCTATTCCCTCTGTCTTCTTTGCAGCAACAAGATGTTGCTGACCTGTGTTCACTTATGATCTGTTAGAAGCACAAAATCTTTCCCAGAGAACCTCTCCATTTCTTGCCTATCCTCCACTTGCCCAGGTGATTATTCCCAGCTCTATGTAACATGCAGGCAGGACTCCAAAGTGAATGAAATATTTCTTTGTCAGATAATTTCTCTAATTTTCTCTTTCTGTCCTGCAACTTCCTCCAGATTGAAATCTTCAATATACAACATCCAGATCGCTAATGAATATGCAAATGTTGCAAAACTCGAGACAGACTGTTAAAGAATACCATTTTCACAGTAAGTTAATAGTTAACTATTATCTGAGGGCACTGTTCCACCATTTTTTATGCTTACTCAGTAATGATTTCATCTAGACCATGTCTCCCTATGTTTCATTTATGTGGCAGTGTCAAAAATCTTATTAAATCACTCTATACCAACACTTATTAGTGTCAGAGAGGGAAATAATTCAAATTGATTCAGTGCATTCTGAGGCAACCCATGTCATTGTTACTTACATTGTAAACTTTTAGATTCTTATGAATTACTTTTAGTATTTACTCCGGTCTTGTTCTGAGAATTCTATCCAATGTGTGGCAGCTATGATTCCAGCTGTGCTCTTTTGGAGACAGGAATGCTGCTTAGCCTTCTCCCTCCTCTTGTTATTCACCTGAACTCTGCAAGTTTTTGCAGAGCAGTTGCAGCCAGCAACACTCTGAGAGTGCTTTAGCAAGGTACTGTAGACGAATGATGTGGTTGATATGAAAGGTTCTACATTATGTAAGTACTCCCTTTCTTTTTTCTTCCCATACTCTAGTGGAAGATTATGTGCTGTACTGTATTTAAGCCACCCAATTTAGTAATTATTTTCAATGAAAGCTGAAACAAAAGAGCTTTTGGCCTTCAAGAGACCACCTTTCCTTTAGAACTTCCTTGATTTTCCTCTTACAGAGTGACTTCTCAGAATAATTTTGGGCCTTTGCCTTTCTGATTTTGTAGTTTATTTTCACATTACTTATTTTTGGCTTTAGCAGTCTATCTTGGTTTCCACTGCTGCTGTGTATTGCAGTGTTTGAAGTCAAGAAAGTTCTTGTGGTTTAACCAATTTGTTTTATTACCATTGCTGCTTCTTCACCTGCTTTGGGATAGTTTATGCATCTATTGTACTTATCACGCAGTATCTGTTTCTAAAACAAATAAACAAACAAACAAAAGAAACAACCCCAAAAACGTCAGTTTTCCTTAACTCCTTTTTCTCATAAACTCTTTACATGAGACCTTACCTACCTGTTCTCTGAATATATTGAAATCCATGTCCTTGAATTCCACTGTTTTAATATTGTTGTTCTCCTTCTTTTCATACGGATCGTAAATAGTCATTTTGTCAACTCTCCTCTCAATTTCCACCTTTGCATTTTCAGACACTTATTTCCAAATCTGTAAAAATCTTTCCCCTATTCCGTCTGCTGGATTTTCTTCACCTACACAACAAGAAACTGTCATTAGGATGTTCCTGGAGCTTGCTAAACACATTGCCTACATTTCACTACAGACAAAACATGTCTACAGCTATATTCTAAAACTGAAACCAAGTGGCAGAAAGTGGTCCACATCTGGACAACTAAACTCTCTCACCATCCAAAACTGTGAGGCCATGCCCTGCCCATGGGACCTGGCTTCTGCACTCCAAGCAGAGTTTGGGAATTTTTTTGCAACAGTAGTGAGTACCTGAGGACAAAATCGTGTCAGGGAATGTCCCAGCACTTCAGTGGTAGGAACAGAGATGAATTGATGGAATGTGCTCCCTTTGGAACCATTTCATTAACTGTTATAGGCAAGTCTCTTGTCTCTTGGTTTATTAGTTTCTCAGTGAGTTGCTGAAATCCCTGGGAAACATCCTCTCCTGGGGATTCCTGTCAGAAGCTCACAAAATTTCATCTTCCCCTGCACTTGCTGAGAGGATTGTCCATAGTAGATACTTACCCTGAGAGGACCTTTTCCAACCCTATGATTCTATGATTCTATGACCTAAAGTCCTTTTCCATCTGATAAGATGTTCAAGAACTTTTCCTCCCTGTAATTTGAAACTGAGACTAGCTCAGTGTCCTAGGCAGCTATGCTTCCCTTCTCCCCTTGTCTTTCATGAACATCTGCATCTTTTTTTACTAATATGCCTATCGTGAGTTATCATAGAATCTTAGAATGTTTTTGGGTTGGAAAGGTCCCTAAAAATCACCTAGTTCCAACCCCTTTGCCACGGGCAGGGACAACTTTCACTAAACCAGGTTGTTCAAAGCCCCATCCAACTTGGCCTTGAATACTTCCAGGGAGGGAACATCTACAAATTCTCTCATCAACCTGTTCCAGTGACTCAGTCCCCTCTCAGTAAATAATTTCTTCCTAATATCTAATCTACATATGACCTCTTTCAGTTATCCCATCATAAGCATATTTTATGCCTACTGATTTTTGATCATGATATATATACATCCAATTCCTCTTATTAATCTCAAGGTTTTGTGCATTAATCTGAACATCAAGACATTTTATAGACTGACACCACCCAGCACACACACTCTCTTTCACCCCTCCTATGATCCTTTTATAGATAAATCTGCGATTATCTTTGGTTAGAAATAGATATTGAAAATTACTTTAATAATAATAAAAAAGAAGGAATTTGGACAGAGGTGTTTTGTTAACTTCAGATGAAGAAAAAAGTTTCAGAAACAGGACAACACCAACCCTCCATCCAAACGTAGTTCATGTTCCCGGGTTAGAGTCTGTGTTGGAAACACATGATATCCTGGCAGTAACACAGCAAACGTCCAAGAGGGAAATGACACGTTAAAACGAAAAGACAAACACATTTTTCACCCTGACAGACAGCTGGCTTACATCTGTATTTTCACAGGCATCAGCAGTGTTGACTGTTATTGTTAAATGCACAGATACTGCACTGCAGTGTCAGAGGGCCTGAATTCTCCGCAGTGTTATTGCCCACGTCTCAGGCATCCTGAAGTGATTAATGGGCTTTGGGGTCTTCCCTCCAGGACGCCTTAACGTCAAAAAAACACTGGCTGGAAAGCGGGATGCTGTTGTGGTGTTTCATGTCAGCACCGCATCCGCGGCAGAGATCGCTCCCGCTTGGCAGCGGCTTGGCAGCGGCTCTGGGACGCCACGGGAGGGCACGGAGGAGCGGGGCAGGCGGGCACCTGCAGCGCCCACGCCCACGCGTGGTCACCCTCGGCCGCGCGGGCGGGCTGGGAGAAGGAACGGGAGCCGGAGAGGGAGCGGGAGCGCGGACGCCGCGGTGCCCACGAGGGGGCAGCACGGGGGCAGCGGGGGCTGCGGCCGCGGGGCCGCGCTGGGAGGGGCGTGCGGGCGTCCCGCACAGCCCCGGGGGTCCCGCACTGCCCCGGGGGTCCCGTACGGCTCCAGGGGTCCCGCACAGCCCCGGGGGTCCCGCACTGCCCCGGGGGTCCCGCACGGATACGGGGGTCCCGCACTGCCCCGGGGGTCCCGCACAGCCCCGGGGGTCCCGCACTGCCCCGGGGGTCCCGCACTGCCCCGGGGGTCCCGCACTGCCCCGGGGGTCCCGCACGGCTGGGCGTGACACCGCCTTTGGAGAGGGCCACGGACAGCCCGGCAGCCTCAGACGACAGCTGTCGGGGGAGAAGTCCCACGGCGGGCCCTCGTGCAAAAGCAGCATTGAGAATGCAAGTTCTTGGAACGCCCTTGGAGGTGTTGAAGCAAAATGAAGAATCAGAAGCGTGTTTACGAAGTGCAGAAGTTCCGGCTGCGTTTGTTGCTCCTCTGTTTCCACAGCGTTGGGGTGAGTGTCCAGAACCTCCCCTAGCCCTGCTTTCCTGTCATCCCAAGAGGATGCTGCAAATCTTCCTGTCACCTCTGTGACTTTTCCTGGCAGCAGGGACAATGGGCTCTCAGACACAGCCACCCATAGCCGCTCTCAGCTTGCAGCCTGTGCTGGACTCTGTGCACACATAATTGGGATATCAAGGTGCTCAGGAAACACCTTTGTGAGATAAGCTGAACACTCGAAAGGAATGTGTGCCCTGCCACCAGAGCCAGCCAGGACCAAAGAGGATGAAGGATAAGTATCAACACTTTTGCCCTTGCCCACCAGTCCAGGTCATTAGTTTTCCTTGTGTCTTGTGAGTCCTGCATCTCATGCCCAAGGCTCTTCTCTAGCACTGAGTGCCATTTCTCTGTCAGGCGTGCCAAGAGATATTTGTTTGGGACTCAGAATATTTTTTTTAATGAATTTTGCTATGCTGTTGCTTTGATTTTATAATCCTTCTACAAGAGCTTGGAGCAAAGACAGCCTCCAGTCAGCCTCACTGAGAAAATACCACAACAAGCTATCTCGTCAGTCCAGTAGCTGCACGTGCCAAAACCTGCACACTGAAATGTTGTGACAGATATCAAGAAAGGGAGATCCAGACTGAAAACAGCAGGTTCTGGGCTTATGTCCGTAGGCAGTTGTCCTATCTTAAATGTGTCCTTGCTCTGGCTTTATGGCTCCTTGGCAGCAGCCAGTTCATGGCATTGTAAAGCTCACAGATCATGGAGTTATGGAGAAGCCAGAGTTTGATGTAGCGAGCCAGAGTGACAACCTGCTGCTAAAGGGGGTAAGAAAATTGAGGGGAGGTGGCCTCAGAATGAACCTCTGTAGCTGGCCTGGAGGTAAGTCCTGGTTTGGTCCCCATTTGCACGTGAAGGAGTGAGAACTGTCTTCCTCCTCTGTGCTGCTCCCCATGGCTTCTCAGCACATGCTCCAGTGCCATGAGCTGCATATGCTTAGGGGGTGTGAGTGAAAAGTAAGCCCCTAAAGCTCTTCTTTCCTCCTGACCTCTGAGTGGTGTTGTTTTGCATCCTTCCACACTGAGGGGTATAATAACAGCCTTAATGGACCCCAAAATGGCAGGGTGATGATGCACAGCCATGGGTTTTTTTGGTACCCTAACAGATCTCCTGTGAAGCCCCTCTGTCCCTCAGCCCCAATGTCCTACCAGAGGAAGGAGCCTTTTACTTTCAGAGAAGAGCCATCACAGCAGGCGCCACATCCCCCCTATGCTTCTCTGGGTGAAGGAATTTGCTTGAGAGCCACATCTGTCCCCTGCCACGAGCTAGCCAAGATGCTGTCTCCTGGAGCCCAGCAACACTTCAAGGGAGAAGCCCCCTCCTAATTCAGAAAAAGTGAGAGGTGCCAGTACATCCTTTTCCAGGAGCCCCTGGGCTTCCTTGGCCCCTGGAGAGGTGAAAGGTGGGAACATTCAGAGGGAGCCATGAGATGCTTCTGTTTTTTAGTGCCTCTGGAAGGGTTCAGATGTACAAGAGGCTGAGGGTCTCTGGGGAGAATGGGATATTTTTAGCTGTCACTTGACTGATGTTCGCTGTCATGTAGAGAGAGTTTGTTATTCTTTGCTGTATGGCTTATATTCTTTTAGGAGCAACGAAAACTCCAAGAGTCTGGGATAGGTGCTTTTCCTGCATTCACATAGGAATAACAGTAATAATAACAACAATAACAGTAGATTAGCAATTTTAGAGAAATAATCAGTGTTTACCAGAATGCCCTATCTTCTTCAAGCGGTGTAGCTGCTCCACTTTAAAAATACACAGTCTTGTGCAGCCTTTATGAAAAATGAAAAACTGGCATTATAGATAAGCAGTTTGCCTATTGTGAACTTAGGTAGCCCTTGAAAACAGTAGGTTTTGGCTCAAAATCAGCACATCACTTAGGCATATGCTTAACTTTAAGCATGAGAATAATCATACTGAAATCGGGGGGAGTGTTCACATGTTTACAGTTAAGTCTCAATCCAAATGCTTTGCTGAATTTCGTCCTACTGGGAACAGAGAATGCTAATACAGCTTTCAGAGCCTGACCCTGCAGAATATTAAATACAGCTGAGCTCTCTAATTCCCACTGAAGTTAATGGAATTGAGGGTACTTGGCATTCCTTGGGTGCATGCAGCCCTGCACAGAATCAAACCCCAGCTGCAGCCACCAAAAAACATGCTTGCACTTCCTGAAATCAAAGAGTGATGCTCCTTAATTGCAGGACAGAGATGACCTGCCAAATGTAGAGATGACCATCTTAAATAGGAGGTTTCACTAGGACCTTTGGAATCCAGGGGACCCAAGGTTACATATGTGACAAAAATACAGTGTACAACTGTATGAAATGAAAAGAAGGAGTGGGGGTAACCTTGGAAGGTCTCAGCAATGTGTTTATTTGGCCGTGTTCATTAACTACAATCCAAGTGTGATACTTCAGAGTCATTTAGAAGCATTGCTTCCTGACTTGCCTTGGTATTTGCTACTCTGCCAATTTCTTGTAGCCATTGAAGCA